TGGATACGTGGAGAGAGGGAGGACTTCTGACTTTCACCCACTTTGCTCCCCTGACCCTGACTGTTAAGTGCCCATCTGCAGCCTGGTCAGGAACTGGTTTTAAATCAAGTTACCTATGTGCTCCTTGCAATGGGGTCAAAGTGCTGGAAACATGATCTCCTGCTGATGGTATACACAGTGGGCACCATGGTAAGATCCAGGTCCTTGGAAGTCTCCAGGCTGGAGCAAGAGCCAGGCTCTGCTGCTCATCAGCTTGTGTGACTGGGGGCTAGCAGCATCACCTCTCTGAGCCTCATTGTAGGATGGGAGCAATACCCAACACATAAGGTTGCTCTGCAGGTGCAAGGTCACATGCCCAGGACCTAGCACAGACCCTCTGGCCCATCCTTCCCTCTCTGTGGTGCTGCCTTGTGAGGACTTGTCTCCCTTCTGTCCACGGCTGCTTCTACCTAGCATCTCCTTGCCTCTGTTCAGCCTATTCCTGCTGCCAATCTGTATTGTTCTGTTCTCACCCCACTATCAAGAACTACCTGAGACTCGGTAGTTCATAAAGAAAAGAGGTTTAATTAACTCACAGTCTCATGGCTGGGGAGGCCTCAGGAAGTTTACCTTCATGGCAGAAGGTGAAGGGGAAGCAGGCATGTCTTACATGGGGGCAGGAGAGAGAAAAGCAAAGGGGGCGTGGCCAAACATGTTGAAACCATCAGCTCTCACTCAGAACCCACCCACTAGCATGAGAACAGCAGAGGGAAAACCACCCCATGATTCAGTCACCTCCCACCAGGTCCCTCCTGCAACATGTGTGGATTATAGTGGGAGATGAGATTTGGGTGGGGACACAGCCATATCACCATCCCAAGTAGGAAGCAGAAGACTGGTTTCTTAGGTTTTTGGAGAAAGTACCTTTTAAGAGTTAAGTGAGGAGAGCTGGCTACAGAGCAGCTCCACACCAAGCTTGACTCCAGGGCTGGGATGGAGGTGGGCCGGATTGGGCGTGTGTGCAGTAGTGAGCAGGAGAGCACTTGATGAAGACTGTGGCAAAAGGGGAGGCTAGGAACAGATCCCGTTATTCATGCTAATTGCCAGAGGATTTTTTTTTTTTCCGAAAATTATATACTGTCTAGAGTTATAGACAAAAAAAAAAAAATGGTAGTTTGAAAACTGCCCAGGCTTTGGCATCACAGTTCCCCTTCCTGTCTTGGATGCAGAGGGTTGTAAGCCCCACATGCACCCTGAGGGGCTCCTCTGCAAAGCCAAGGCTCACCCCATTCAGTGCTGCCTTAGCCTGCCGGGACCGAGGGAGGCGACATTCTGTTCTCATAGCCAGGAAGATGGGACCCCTGGGTGGAAGTCCTCACCTATTAATTTGCTTTCCAAAGGCCAAAGAAGCTCAGGATGACCTGGTGAAGACCAAGGAGGAGCTGCACCTGGTGATGACGGCACCCCCACCCCCACCGCCCCCTGTGTATGAGCCAGTGAGCTACCATGTCCAGGAGAGCTTGCAGGATGAGGGCGCGGAGCCCACGGGCTACAGCGCAGAGCTGTCTAGTGAGGGCATCCGGGATGACCGCAATGAGGAGAAGCGTATCACCGAAGCGGAGAAGAATGAGCGTGTGCAGCGGCAGCTGCTGGTGAGGCCCAAGGGGCTCTGTCTCTCCAGGGGGCCTGCTTCCCTCTTGCAGCAGATAGGCTTGGGGAGAGCATCGATGGGAGTCAGCCCCATTCAGCACCCCCCTTGCCCTTCCCACTTTCCTAGGGGAGGGGCCAGGCCATATGGGGAGGAAGGGACCTAGTAATGCTTCTTAATGTTGCAGACGCTGAGCAGCGAGCTGTCTCAGGCCCGAGATGAGAATAAGAGGACCCACAATGACATCATCCACAATGAGAACATGAGGCAAGGCCGGGACAAGTACAAGACGCTGCGGCAGATCCGGCAGGGCAACACCAAGCAGCGCATTGACGAGTTCGAGGCCATGTAGTGGCCAGGCCAGGACCGCGGGCAGAGGGGCGCTCGCAGCGGGCACTGTTGTCAGCGCTGCCAGCCTTGTCACGCTTGTCTTTAGTGCTCCAAGTCTAGGAACTCCCTCATCAGATCCCAGTTCCTGTAAAAAGCGTTACCCGACAGAACCATTCTGGGCTGGGAACCAGGGAGGTGCCCTGGTTGGTTTTCCCCAGTTGTATCATAGTGCCAAGCAGGCCTGATTCTCGAGATTATTTTCAAATCACCTCCTGTGTTGTGCTGAGAGCAGGACTGATTGAATTACGGAAAATGCCTGTAAAGTCTGAGTAAGGAACTTCATGCTGGCCTGTGTGATACAAGATTCGGTATCACTAAAGGAAACCGCGGCATGGCTTCCATCTGTGCCATACTTCCTCTGCATTTGAAACGAGCTCAAATTGGCTTTTGATTTTAATTTCTATGAAGGATCCATCTTTGTATATTTACATGCTTTGAGGGGTGAAAATTATTTTGGAAATGAGACAAGCACTCGCACACACAATGATTCCCTCCTGTCACTCCACACAGCTGGCAGAAATCAGTGGTCACACCAGCATGAGCGGCAGAGGACGACACTTGGATAAATTTTTAGTTTTGTTGGTTTTTGCTTAACAGTTAGAAAACTACATTGTTGTACTTATACACCTGACGATCAGCTATATAGTATTTATATACAAGTGATAATACAGATTTGTAACATTAGTTTTAAAAAGGGAAAGTTTTGTTCTGTATATTTTGTTACCTTTTACAGAATAAGAATTACATATGGAAAACCCTCTAACCATGGCACTTGATGTGATGTGGCAGGGCAGTCGTGAGTTACCGGCCTGCTGCAGTCACGTGTAAACAGGATTTTTAGTGTTTTATGCATGTAACAGACTATGCACACTTTTAATTTTGTCAAATATACACATGCCACTGTGACCATTTAGACTCCAGCCATGAGACTGTTCGCTCATGCGTGTCTGTTTCCATCTCTGCCATGGCCTTGGCAGGCTGCAGGGAAGGCAGCTTTGGAAGGTTGTTCCTTCTGCCCACTCTTCATTCCTTCTCGTGCACTGCTTTCTTATTGCAGTTAAGACACCGTGAGCAGGTGGATTCCACGCTGCAGGCATGAAATAAAAGCTTTGCAAAGTTATGAAGCAGCATGAGTGTATGCTTGCGTGTGGGGTGGGAGGGCCACCGCCGACCCGCCTGGGCTCTATGCTGTTCCCTGGCCAGGTTTTGCAAGGGACTTTGACGTCCCTGGAGGTACACTGGTCAGTTAGAGCTGACCAACGCAAGGCCTGAATTCTTACCTGGTGCTCCCTGAGTCGCCTAACCACCTCTGGAAATGTTTTCCACAGGAGAGAATGGCTCCAACACTCACCAGGCTCCTCTGAAATGTTGCTCATAGCAAAGCTGTGACACTTTTTGGAGGCACGGTCTCCCTTCGGCCCTGGCTGGATCGCAGTTGTGCAGTCAGGGCTTACTGTAGCCTCCCACATCCTGGGCTCAAGCAATCTTTCCATCTCTGTCTCCTGAGTAGCTGGGACTACAGGTGTGTACCACCACACCTGGCTAATTTTTTTTTAGGTTGGGGGCAGAGGGTAGCTATATATCACCTGGGCTGATCTCACAGTCGTGAGCTCAAGCCATCCACTGCAGCCTCCCAAAGCTGCCAGGGTTACAGCGGGTAGCCACCATGCCTGGCCTGACTGACCATTTAAACACTGGAGGACACAGGTAACAACGTTATTGAAATCTGGCCATTTTCTACATCTCAAAGAGGAGATAACGCACCAGAGGCTTAGGTAACATTCAGAATTGCTGTATTTAAGTACCCAGAGATAGCCACAGGCAGGACTGCAGATGGAGGCTGCTTAAGGTTTAAAAAGTCTCCAGCTGGGGCCCCACTCCGGGGGCGCACAGTGTTTCACACCTGCTGCAACCTGGAACCTTGTGGCCTTCGTGTCAGTGCAGGATGAGGGTCATGTCTGTCCACAGATTGGGGCTGGAAAGGACTTTCTGCCATTGGAGCTTCAATTGTGAGCATGCGTCCCCGCCACCAGCTGCATCTCCCTCTGTAAGGAGGACAAGTTAGCTATGGTCAGGAAGGACACCACTTCATTCTCAGCTCATTAAAAAGTGACCAGCCAGAAGTTTTTCCACCCCAAGTCATTAAAAGGCCAACTCCTGATGGGACCCATACCCCAACAAAGCTGGCGTTGAGACGGATTTGCCCAGGCATCCCCTGCTCTGCGGTGCTCCTAACAGCCCGGAGCTCTGGTTTGAAAGTGAGGCGAGGACTGGTTTGGTGCGCTGGGTCTTCACCAAGGGAGTGAATACTCTCACACCAGCATGGCTGGCTGGGTGGGGCTGTCTGAGATTCAGGGCCGGACTTGCCCATGGGAAGGGATTCTTAAAGGAAGACGGTATGCTTTGGACAAAATCTCTGAAAAGTAATTTAGCAGTGAGGCTTATTTCTCTCCAGTCACTGGCTCTCGGTTGGAGGTCCTTGGAGATGTGTGCAGGTGTTTTTGGTTGTCACCACGTTGGGGACATGGCTGGCAGCTAGAAGCAGCTCCAAGCACAGAACTTCACAGCAGAGGGCTGTCCACCCTGGATGCCGGTGGCGCCCTGCCGAACGGCTCTGGACAGCATTGCTGTTTTGACCTCTTGATGAAGTACTTTCTGAATTGCCATTTGTTTGAGTTAAGCCATTTTCCTTTAAGAAAATAATCCTTTTATGATTGACGCCAGAAACAAAAGCAAATACAGTACCTAACCCATTTGGAGGCCTATAATTTTTGTTTCTTTAGCACATCTAAATCTGATTTAAATTGTCAAAATACTTGGCTGCATTATGGCTCAGCTGTAGAGTAAAAACTAGACGGGAATTTCCATTTAAGGCAGGTTAGGCAATTTCAAAACCAGTTAAGTCACTGCCCTGGTTTTCAGGGTACCCGTTAGGATAATCACAAAGGATAAACAACATTTGGGCCCAATAGCTCAGACTTACTTGAACCAAGTCTGGCTCCCCCAAGCAAGCGGTCATTCATTCCAAGGAGAGCCTGGTCCCAGACGGTTAACTCCAAGCTCGACTGCCTCAGCTGAGCTGGGGTTACACCACTGAAGACAAAGGAGTGTTTCCACTGGGGGCAAGCCTGCTTCTTCAGGACTGGCGACTTCAGTCTCAGTTTTTGTTGGTCTGGCAGAGTGAGACAGCTAAAGAGGGAATACAAACTCTAATCACTGCTGTGCGCATGGCCACCTCTCCCAAGGCTGGTGCATCAGCACAGACCGGAAGCACTAAGAAAAGTGCCACGTCAGCCAGGCACAGTGTGGCTCAACACCTGTAATCCCAGCACTTTGGGAGGCCGAGGCGGGTGGATCACGAGGTTAGGAGTTCGAGACCAGCCTGCCCAACATGGTGAAACCCCGTCCCTACTAAAAATACGAAAATTAACGGGGTGTGGTGACGGAAGCCTCTAATCCCAGCTACTCGGGAGGCTGAAGCAGGAGAATCACTTGAACCTGAAAGGCGGAGGCAGTGAGCCAAGATTGCACCATTGCACTTCAGTCTAGGCAACAGAGCGAGACTCCATCTCAAAAAAAAAAAAAAAAGTGCCATGTCCACAACATCCACACCCTACACAGAGAGGCAGGATGGGAACCACAGGTCTCGCACATTTCCCTTAGAGCTGAATTCTGCATCAGGTATGAAGGGCGAGTTGTGTGCGGAGGCCTCTTGCCCTCATCTTAATCTTTCCTCCTTGGGGTGCCTACCGCCATGACTCCAGATACATGTTATCTCCTTTTGACCCTGTTCTCAGGAAAATAAACAAAAGCTTGTCCAAGGCCATGCAGATAAGCGACAAGATTAGGACACAAACTCAGTTCTTTTTTTGTATGTGAAACGGAGCCTTGCTCGGTCGCCCAGGCTAGAGTACAGTGGTGCGATCTTGGCTCACTGCAACCTCTGCCCCCCAGGTTCAAGGGAGTCTCCTGCCTCAGCTTCCTGAGCAGCTGGGATGATAGGCGCCCACTACCACACCTGGCTAATTTTTGTATTTTAAGTAGAGACGGGGTTTGGCCATGTTGGCCAGGTTAGTCTTGAACTCCCGACCTCAGGTGATCTGCCTGTCTTGGTCTCCCAAAGTGCTGGGATTACAGGCATGAGCCACTGCGACCGGCCTCAGTTCTATCTTGACCATCATTTTTCCCTTACATCACTGACAGGGAGTCTGCAATTCAATGTAATAATGAATGGTATTTGCCTTGCTCTTAGAGGGCCCAGCGCACCTACCGTGAATGAGAATGAAATGTGGAGAGTCATGCATTTTACTGTTGGTCCAAGAGGAGATGTTAAGCTCAGGAAATAGTTACCGAACACACTACTTTTTCATGCTTGATTTCAAAACTGGCTTGCCAATATCACAAGAACTGATAAGATTAGGGTTTCAGGTACCCCAGCACGTACACATCCCACGAATTTTCAGAAACCAGGGTCTTTACTATTAAGTGTTATGTTAGATTTTCATAGGAAAGCTAAAATAAGATGTTTTAAGTGGCTTACATTTTTTGGTATTCCCTGTAGGTTCTGGGCTGTGTCGTTACGTATACTAGATCATCAGTAAATCATTTTTGATTGCATTGAAATACCTACCCCTTAACAAATGAGTTCAAGGTGCCATCTGGCCGCACAGGTAAATTCTTGGCTCCCAGCACTACCAAGCAAAGTTGACCGTTAAGAGACAGCTGCTCTGTCCCTGGAAGGAAAGCCAGTATTCACCGTCAAAGCCATTTTTCCTGATCTGTTAGAATGCAGTACCACCACTCAAAACTAAGAGCTCAGCAAGAGAATCTGCTACAGCCCTCAGACCCCAAGAGAGAGAAGGGAGTGGTGCGGTGGGCTCGGTGGGCTCTGCTGGCCCCGCCCCAGGCTGTGGTGCTGTGTGGTAAGAACAGGATGGAGGGATTGCTAACATCCAGAGCAAAGAGGAAAGAGGAACCCGAGGATAAGAAAGATGCCGACCTTTGAGTCTAGTTGTAGCCAGCAGTTTGGGGGAAAGTGAGAGCCCGAGACCCTGTCCAGGGGTTGGAATGGCCAGGGGACACTTGCTGGTCTGCTGATGACCCTGTAAGCTCAGGTTGCAGAATTTCCCCTTCTAGCCAAATAGAAAGTCACTGAAATACACAACGGAACTCCCTGTCCTTCCCCATCCTCCTGCTTTCCACACTATCGAAGGAGTAAAATCTCCGCAGGGCCCCTGAGGATCTGCCTTCCTGACCTACTTCTCTTGCTGGGCAGCAGCTGCCTACATGCCGGAGGACAAGGATGTATCTCATCTGAGCCCTGCAGGTACCAATGCCTTGAGATGTGCTCTTGGCTCCACGTTGTCATGGAGCCTCTGCCCTTCAGGAGGGGCCATCATTTCCCCAGAGACCATGCAATTGGCCCCTGGGAGGAATGCCTAGAGCTGTGTCAGAGCAGCATAGAGGCCTTGTCTGCTTCTGGTCACCCTCTTCCCCCTAGGCTATGGGCTCCAGAGAACTTCCGGGCTCACTGCATCGCTCAGTAAGGGCTGCTAGAGCTCGGAGCCAGGCCATAGAAAGGAAATGCTAGAAAGTTTCCCCCCACTTTCAGCCCTCCTGCTGCACCAGGCTTTACAATGTCCAGGAAGCTGAGGCCACCAACCTTCTTGAGCCTCTTGGAGTTTTCCAGGCCCTGAAGGCAGGACCAGCTTAGCCCGGACCGCAAGCTCTCCATTACTCTGAGGGACGCTGTCTTCATATTTCTCCACCTGGGGACAAGAGGCAGAGTTTAGGGACAGGATTCTCAAGCCTTGAGAACCTTCTGGGCTCCTCTGGTTGTCTCAGCTCCGTCCACGGATGCTCCCCCTGACCCCTGCAAGGCCCTGTGTGAAGCAGGCGTGTCCGTGGCAGGAGGTCTTCCCATCTGTGGTTTCAGTCCCACCCTCCCCAACCCCAGTATGTGAATGAAGAGCTCGGCCACCCCAGCAAACCAGAGCCAGATGAGCCTGAGGAAGCAGAGGGACTCAAGGGCACTGAACACCCCCTAAGACATTTCTATGAAAACCCGGACACAGCCTGGGTTTGAAAAACGGAAATGAACTCAAGCCTCCACCCCATTGAGGTCAGTAGAGATTCCGGTTGCCCCTCCATGCCAAGGACTGACACAGACGCTGGAGACAGCATGGGGCACAGACTCTGCCCTTAGCCACAGGGGGTGTCCCCCAAGGTGTGGCGAGTCTGAGGACACCTCCTGCCCACTGAGGCGCTTCTCTGTCATGAGTGATTTTGCCAGAAAGTGAGTGAAGACAGGGCCTGGAGAAGACATGATCCTGAAATCCACACCAGCTTTCTCCAGTGGGGTGGGAGGACAGTACTGGGAAGGTCTAGAGCAGGGGTGTCCACTTTTGACTTCCCTGGGCCACATTGGAAGAAGAATGGTCTTGGGCCACACATAAAATACACTAACACTAAAGACAGCTGATGAGAAAAACAAAAAAGCAAAAAAAACTATATTTATGAAAGTTTATGAATCTGTGTTGGGCCGCATTCAATGCCATCCTGGGGCCAGGCACGGTGATTCACGCCTGTAATCCCAACACCTTGGGAGGCCGAGGCAGGTGGATCACCTGAGGTCAGGAGTTCAAGACCAGCCTGGCCAACATGGTGAAACCCTGTGTCTACTAAAAATACAAAAAATTAGACGGGCGTGGTGCCGGGCACCTATAATCCCAGCTACTGGGGAGGCTGAGGCAGAGAATCGCTTGAACCCCAGGGGACAGAGGTTGCAGTAAGCTGAGATCACACAACTTCACTCCAGCCTGGGCGAAAGAGCAAAATTCTGTCTCAAAACAAACAACAACAAAAACCAAAAAGCAAAACTGTCCTGGGCTGCGGGTTGGACAATTTTGGTCTCGATACCTCCAGTCCACCATGGCTCCCCTGGCACCGAGAAGCAGCCCTCTTAGTCGCCCTCAGAGGCTCAGGATGCCTGGGAGCCCACGTGGGCCAGTCCCTGTCTTCCTGGTCTCGTTTGGGTGCCAAACGAGATATGGCTGCCTCCAGCCTTAGTGGCCAAAAACTGAGCCAGAATCAGAGGCCAGGGTAGGCCTGTGGGCAGACTCACCACCCAGCTGGCCTTAGGAGGGATGCCATGCTGTCTGCTCCTCACCCACTTGCCAAAGCAGGCTCGGTCTGATGAGGCCTGAAAGTTCCAAGGAGGCTCCAGATGGCAGAATAAACCATGGAGCAGCTGTGACTCTCATGACCAGGAGCTGCTAAAAGAGATTTTTGAAAAGCCCTCGGCTGTCAGTCCTGAGGTTGCTGCCTGTGAATAAGACCAACCAATCACTGGGTCTCACCCTAAGAATGACCAGCCCAACTCTCCAGATGAAATACTGAGCGAGAGTGCTTGGAGTGAGTTTGGGGTCTGGATGCCAGCAACATCACTGGTTCATCACTGGCCAGGCTAGGACCCATCCTCCATCGCCCACCATCTACTTGTAAGTGACTGAGCAACACACAGCTTGCTTTTACATCCATATGTGCAAATCTTAGCCTGATGCTTGAGTGTCATCTCAAAAAAATATTAAATCTTTTATTTATCTCCTATACAAAACTCCCCTTGCTTGTAAAGTAAGAAAAATTAAAACCTCGTTGAGGGAAAAGAAAAACAAACTCAAATGCCACCAGGCCTACAAATACTACTTCATTTAGACTTGCGGGGCCACTGCTTTCCAAATGGCATCCAGGACTGTCTAAGCCAGCAATGAGTTCATTCTGGGCTCTTGAGAGTCCTCATCTGCCAACCATTTGGTTTATCGATCAGCTTTTAAGATGTCCAGTCATAACTAAGTCATTCTCCTCCAATCTCCAAAATAAACTATAGGTAACAAGATTAAAAAATAAAAATAAAAAAATAAAGCAGGACCTGCTTTTTCCAGGCCTTGTCTTTGAGCTGATGGCAGAGGTGTGGGAGAGGCAGGGTGCATGGGGGATTCTGCCTCTGACAGAGGGAGTCCAGGCTGGAAACTCAGGGTGTCCCGGAGGAGCCGACGCTCTTCTGAGAGATGACAGAGGGGGAGTGAGAGGAAGCCATGGAAGCTAGATGCTTCGCCCACCTGCAGCATGGTGGTAATAGCAAAGGGACACCAAGGCTGAAGATGAGACCAGAGACGGCAGGAATCCTGAGCTCTGAGTCCTGGAGGGGAGGCCACTTCTGGTTGGGGTAATCAGGAGGTGAGCTTTGGGTAGTCTCGAGCTGATATTGGATAAGGGATGCATTCCAGGTGGGCACTGGGTATGGGAGGTCTAAGCCCAGACTCTGGCTTGGGGGAGTCAGCACAGGCAGTGCGAGTGTGGACATTGCCTGGAGGGGCAGGGAGGGGGCAGAGGGCTCACCGGGAGGCCTCAGCTTCACCCACTGGTGGCTGAAACCAGAGAAGCTTCCCGGCAGAGACACTGTGAATCCCAGCTGTGCTGGCTCCAGAGAGGAAAAGAGAGGCCAGATGGCCCTTGTGCCCTGTGTCCAGGTTGGAGCAGAAGGCTGGGACCGCTATGGGCCCGTGGCTGAGGGGAGTGGTCCAACCTGCTCAGTTTTTAAATAGATGACGGGAGCCCACATTTTTTCTCCCTTCCGGTCTCACATGAACTCTCCCCCAGTCTTGGATCTGGACATAGAAAAGTGCAAAGCAGCATCTCCTCTCTCCAGGGCCTCTCCTCCTACCTTGACAGCCTGGGGGAGCAGATCCTAAATCAAATCCAGTCAGCTCCTCCGACCCACCCACCCACCCATTTGCCGTCTATCTCCCTCTGCACAATTCCAACATGCCAGCCAGGGTGGCCTCTGCCTTCCCGATAACATTGGGTCCAGCAACTTGTCACCTATGATTGTTCTGAGAGTGCCTGGGGTTGAAAGGTTAGAAACAACACACTGTAGCCCCCAGGGGGACTGCATGGCTGAGGGTGGTGCCCCCAGGGAAAGGCATGGCCTGCTTCTAGCAGGTCAGCAACCAGCAAGGTGAGGCCTCCACCCGGTGAAGCCAAAGGCCCTCATCCAGTCTGATCTGTGTGTGATGCTGAGGCTGGGGCTGTTCGGGTACTTGAGCACAGCTGAGCTCAACACACACCCTCAGCCCACCCCACCCTGAAGAAAGTAACTATTCGAAAGTCACAGCAGGTCCAAGTCTCACCAGGTACGTTTTCTCTTCTGGGATCTCTCTGAAAAGCAATTTCTGTCTCACAGTGGGGATAGAGGACACTCAGTGCAAAACCAGACATCACCTTGGCCCGGAGCGGATGCCAGCGGAAGGACTGTGTTGTGCTGTCTTCAAAGTCCCACGTGGCCAGAGGAATGATCACTTCTCCAAGAAACACTCTCCGGGTCAGCGCACCCAGATGCCACACCGAGACCTGCAGCCGCCGGGTCACCAGCTGGGCAGGGGCCACCTGATACTGCAGAGGCAGAGCAAAGATAGTCAGCTGGGCTCCTGGGGCCCACGATCCTAGGGTTCCCCATCTCTGGGCTTCAGCTCCCAGGACCTCACTTCCCAGGGGCCTGCACAGGCCTCCCTCCCACAGGCTGAGTCCAAGACACAGATTCAGCCAGGGACCCAATGTGGTTAGGGTGGGTGAAGGTGCTTAGAGCCAGGATGGGATGGGGGTCCTCTCTCTCCTCAGGAACCCCCAACCAACTCCCCAGGTGCCCAGTGCTCTGCCTGGGGACAGGCTAGGACAGCCCAGGTAGCCACTGAGCCCCTCCCACCCCCAATTCTCAGAACAAGACAAGGATGAAAGTCCCTGTCCAGTCCACACCTACTAGAAATCAAGCCAAAGTCTCTGCTGACACAGGATCTGAACTTGCATCTGGCCAACATTATACCCAGCCAGGCTTGGCCAAAAATACTGAAAACAGGGCAAAAAATACTGAAAATTTGTATTTTTTTCTCTCTCTCTCTTTTTCCTTTTTTTTTTTTTTTTTTTTTTTTTAAGAGACGGAGTCTCGCTATGTCGCCCAGGCTGGAGTGCAGTGGCTGTTCACACAGGGGATTCCACTACTGATCAACACAGGAGTTTTGACCTGCTCCGTTTCTGACCTGGGCCGGTTCACCCCTCCTTAGGCAAACTGGTGGTCCCCCGCTCCCAGGAGGTCACCCTATTTATGCCAAACTTAGTGGGGACATCTGATCAGCATAGTGCACTACAGCCCAGAACTCCTGGGCTCAAGTGATCCTCCAGTCTCAGCCTCCTGAGTAGCTGGGACTATAGGCACGTACACCGTGCCTGGCTGAAAATTTGTATTTTTTTTTTAAACAAAGCACGAACTCCCCCTCCTCCATTCTCCCCACACGATGTGTTTGTCCTAGATGGACAGGGCTGCGTCCAGGCATGTGGGGCCTGTGCTGGCTTGGCAGTGGCCAACACAATGTTCTTACTGCCCATACAGGGGGCTACTACACACCCAAGAGTGACGAGAGCACCCCTTCCCCAGCCCAGCATGGGTTCTGCCCCACAGACACTGGAAGCTAATACCTGTGAATGACAGCCAGCCCTTCCCAAGGTGTGGCTGACTCCACCTCAGCCTCTGAGGGCCTCATTTCCCGCTTATTAGTTGGATTTTCTCAATAATGAACAAAACCTACAAGCTACTGAACACTTACTTATTTCATACCAAGATTTTTAGATGCATTGATCTTTTAGCTTTCACACACACCCTATGAGGTCAGTATTATTCAAACCATTTTGCAGGTGAAAACACGAAGCTTGGAAATTCAGTGACCCTCTCTCAGTCTGGCAGCCGACACTGCAGGCCAGAGTCACGTGCACTGACTGTCCAGGCCTGAGTCTTGCTGCTGACCGCTGTGGCCCATGCTACCCTCACTCCGGGACTTGTTTGCGGTTAGAGTGGTGACTCCTGGTGACACTGGGCGGTTGCTGTGAGGCTGGACTTGCTCCCACCTGCAGCAACTATACGGTTTGTTGGCGCTTTATCTCCTCATGCCCACCTTTACCCATCTTTCCAGTTGAGGGATGAGGTAGCTTCTCTCCTTCGGCCTCTGCAAGCAGAAGTGAGGTGCAGCAGGGCCGTCCCCGGCCCTGCTCTGTTGGGGCTGCCTGCAGGCTCTGTCCACCCTTCTGATGTCTGCAGGCTGGGCACTCATGGCTCGGCTGGCCAGGCTGTCTCCCCAATTCGTTCCTCCCTTCTTCCCCACTGGGATGGCTTGTGGCCGTGAAGATTGGAATTTCTTGGGTCACATTTCCTTTCCTCCTGCCTTTGACTTTTAGCCAGTTTTCCCTCAAGTCCATGGGTCCATTTCTTTTTGGGGAGACAGGATCTCACCTGAGCCCAACCCTGCTAGTGGTGCACCAATCACCCAGACTGGGTGCAGTGGTGCAATCTCAGCTCACTGCAGCCTCCACCTCCCAGGCTCAAGCAATCCTCCCACTTCAACTTCCCCAGTAGTTGAGTTAGGCATCACCACGCCCGGCTAATTTGTAGATTTCTGGTAGAGATGGGGTCTCTCTACATTGGCCAGGCTGGTCTTGAACTCTTGGGCTCAAACCATCCACCCACCTCAGCCTCCCAAAGCTCTGAGATTACAAGTTTGAGCCACCACACCCAACCCATGGGTCCATTTCTGACTCTGCCCCAAGTTCAATCTCTGTCTATAAACTCTGAATTGACGAGGTTATTCCCCATAGTCCAACTATACTCCCTATCAGTTAGTCCAGCAGCTGGACAGCTGGCTGGCAGCATCTGCTGCCCTCTGAGAGATGAAGCGGTTACTGGAGTGCCACACCACTAGCAGGGTTGGGCTCGGGCCCCAAGGCAGCTCCCTCATCTCTAGCCATGTGTGGGCGACACCCCAGGCTGCTTCTCCTGGGCCCTTACCCATTGCTCGCCCCTTCCTGTCAATAGGACTATTCCCTACTGCAGATTGAATCTGCCTTTTCAAACCAGACCAATTTACCACTGCCCTATTAGGACCACAAGGCTTGCTCCAGACTCAGCTGGGAATGATCCTGCTGGCATAAGGATCATTCGCAAGCAGGGCCGAGCAATGACCGTCACCCAGTGAGATCACTTCATCCTCCAGGCCTCCAGGACAGTGGTCTCAAATGGGGTACAAGTCTCCCTGGATCCAGAAAGGCTTGCCAAGAAGTACTCTGCTCAGAAAACTTTGAGGATCCATTTATAGATTGTCATGTTTGACATGCACTTTTCTCAAAACTGGCTGGAGACAGTTCTCACAGCCTCTTCCACCTGAATCAAACTCTGATGGCTCACACCAGGTCACACAAACCTCCTCAGTGCCACACAAAGGGGTGACTGTGATTGGAAATAATGGCTTCTGCAAGACTTTCAATGATGGATCTGCCTCCATGGCTTCCCGTCCTTCACATCTTATGTGCATTTCTATTAAGTATGAGGCCGGTGGTGTTGGGATGTTCTGCATTTAGGATCGATTACAGATGCTGATTCTTTTAATTGTATCTGGAAAGTTTCTCAGGACTATAAAATATTCACAGCATTCGCAATATCTATGGATAAGACCCATGGATAAAAAATTTTAAGTGATATCTTTGAGATTCTGTGTGCATTTTAAGTAAGGTAGGTAAACCTTTTAAATCCAACCATATAACTAAATATTTATCTAGAATACAGTCAATATGAAATGTTTATCTCATTTCATAAAGCTGTTTAACACAAAATACTTTAATTAAACTTCCGATGAGTAACTCTGGATCTCTGATTACAATGTGTGAGGGGAAACACAGTTTTTCACAATTCTTCTAGCAGGCACATGAGCAGAACCGTCTGAAGACATTCTCTGGTGATGTGCTGCTACGTACTGACTGGTCCCAGCACCAGGAGAAAGGCCCCGCCCACACCTGCTGAATCAAAATCTGCATGTTTTTAAAAAATCCCCAGGGTCCAAGTACAGCTGCTGCATCTCAGAAATAAGAAATTTAGGCCAGGTTTGGTGGCTTACACCTGTAATCCCAACACTTGGGATGGACCACCTGAGGTCAGGAGTTCAAGACCAGCCTGGCCAACACAGTGAAACCCCATCTCTACTAAAACCACACACACACAAAATTAGCTGGGCATGGTGGTGGGCACCTGCAATCCCAGCTATTCAGGAGGCTGAGGCAGGAGAATAGCTGGAACCAGGGAGGCAGAGGCTGCAGTGAGCTGAGATTGCACCACTGCACTCCAGCTGGGTGACAAGAGTGAAACGCCATCTCAAAAAAAAAAGAAAGAAAAGAAGAAATTTTTAAAAAATGTAAATCCCCACGGCATAAATTTTGAGAACTGCCAGTCCTTTGTGGCTTTGAGCTGTATTTCTAAGGACTCTCTGGGTCTCAGTTTCCCTGTGGGTAAATGAGGATTCTAATACTTACCTGGCCAGAGTAGAGACACAGGAAACAAGTGCTGTTATTATTTAATGAATTCGGGGCTCCATGCCAGCTGCCCAGATGGCCCCTGGCTTGCAGCTCACTTGCCAAGAAAGACAAACAAAGCCCTCTCCTGTCACAAGCACGAGACAAGGGGACCGATGACTGCCATGACCCGGCGGGGTGGCCTCCACAGGTCTGGGCTGTCACTCCCATCCCATCTCAGGGCCGCCACAGCCAGCCCTCAGACACCAGACCTCAGCTGCAGGCCTTCCACCCGAAATCAGAGCACGTGGCCCCATCTCTGCCCTCAACCATCAATCACATTCCTCATTATCACAGAAAGTGAAGACCCAAACAATTAAGGGTACATTTAAAAAAATAATAAAATGAGAAGAAACCTAAGTTTGTCAGAAATACAATAAAGGGGCACTTTTACAAAGACAGTAACTCGGGAGCTTTATTTTTAGGGCGCTCTGTTTGATAGAAACATTCGCTAAGACAAACCAATTTTTAAAATTACCCTATGCCCTGGTGTTAGCCTGAGACAAAGAGGCAGCCAGGTTCTTTTCCACCATCTTCCCAGAAATCATTAATCAAAAGCCATTCCTGAGTCTGGCAGACTCTGCACTTTTCCTGTACAAAGGCTGACATTTATTTTCTACCAACTTAACATTGATTGACAGACCACAGAGAAACATACAGGTGTCGGCATTATATCTGAGTCAACAGTTTGAAGGCACCATTCAGTGGACTCTGCCCCGGCTGCCCCACCTGGGCTGGGAGGACTCCACACAGGGATATCTGGCCAGTAAGTACCTGCAAGGTCTCCTGAAAGGTCGGGTCCACCGTGTTCCTTTGGACTCCAGTCTTGCGCTTTCCCTGGGAGGATCTGTCGGGCAGCAGATAGGTCTTCACATACCTAGAGGCCAAGCACAGTGGGGACAGAGTGAGAACTCAGGGAAAGGGGTGGATAAAGAGTCCCGGACAGCAGAACCCACACCCACATGCCAGCATTTTCTTTTCTTTTTTGAGATGGAGTCTTGTTCTGTCACCCACGCTGAAGTGCAGTAGTGCGATCTCGGCTCACTGCAACCTCTGCCTCCCAGGTTCAAGCAATTCTCCTGCCTCAGCCTCCCAAGTAGCTGCGATTTACAGGCATCTGCCATCACACCCAGCTAATTTTTGTATTTTTAGTAGAGACAGGGTTTCACCGTGTTGGCCAAGCTGGTCTCAAACTCCCAACCTTGTGATCTGCCCGCCTCAGCCTACCAAAGTGCTGGGATTACAAGCATGAGCCACTGTGCCCAGCCCGCACCAGCGTTTTCTTTACCAGGCTTCCTGCTGGAATTTTTAAGTTGACAGAAAGGACTTAATAGCCTAATTGTAAGCAACATTAGTGCTGGGTGGGCAGCTTCTGAATCACAAAGTCTATGGTCAAATGCTGGCTACATAACCCTCTGGAATATTCCTGGGGGTGGGAAGCTCATCCTGGCTTCCTCAGGCCCTACTCCATTTGGTGAAGATGATGGAACCAGAGATTCTCTTGCCCGCCTGCTGTCAAGGCCATGAGCCTGATTCCTGTCCCTCTACCTCCACCTTCACTTTCTACCACCCACTACCTGCAAAAGAAAAATAAGTGGAAGTGGAAAGCGTATGCCTCACACTGTGCTGTTTCCTTGCAGGGTCCTCCAAGACTCAGCTCCTCCCAACTGCTGAGCAGCAGCATTCTTCTGAGTCTAGAGGTCACACACAGCACGACAGATGGCTCCATCTGCACTCACCCAGCATCTGAACGCCAGGCAGAGAGGAGGACATGTTCTGTCCTGTTCTAGGCTGACCCCTCCACACAGGCCCCTACACTGCCCTTCATGGCTCCTCTGGCAGCCTCAGTGATGGCGATGCCACCGCACCCCCGCCACCAGCAGCAGCCCAAGCCCCTGCTCCATAGGCTTGAAACAGCCTCCATTTTTCAAAGTAAAACAACACAGTGAGCCTCCCTATCTGTACCCTTCTGTAGCCCCACTCTTGGCCCTCTTCATCCCCCTTGGGAAGCTTTTTGTAAAAATACTCAAAACTGGCCAGAAGGCCAGGTGCAGTAGCTCACACCTATAATCCCAGCACTTTGGGAGGCTGAGGCCCGTGAATCACCTGAGGTCAGGAGTTCAAGACAAGCCTGGCCAACATAGTGAAACCCTGTTTCTACTAAAAATACAAAAATTAGCCAGGCGTGGTGGCAGGCACCTGTAATCCCAGCTACTCAGGTGGCTGAGGCAGGAGAATCACTTGTACCCAGGAGACGGAAGTTGCGGTGAGCTGCAGTCACACCACTGCACTTCAGCCTGGGCAATAAAGCAAGATTCCATTTCAAAAACAAAAACAAAAAAACACTGGACACAGTGGCTCAGGGAGAATCCCATAAGCCAGGAGTTTGAGACAACCCCGGCCAATATAGGGGGACCTCACCTCCACGAACAATTTAAAAGTCAACTGGGTGTGGTGGTGTGCACCTATAGTCCCAGCTACTTGGGGCCTGAGGTGGGAGGATCACCTGAGCCCAGGAGGTCAAGGCTCAAGTGAGCCATGATCACGTCACTGCATTGCAGCCTAGGCAGCAAAACGAGACTCTGTCTCAAAAAAAAAAAAACCACCTCAAAACTCCCTATCTCCAATTCCCCATAGTTCATATGTAAAACAGAATATATAAAATATACCTCTATGGTTGGAAGCATTATAATCAAGTGCACACCCATGTGCCCGCCCCCACCAGCTTAGGAAACAGAACACTACCCATGACTTCCCTATCATAATCCTGCCCACAACCAGGTAATAACCATATTGGATTTTACACTTAGCACCCCCTAGTTTTCTTTATGATTTCACCACTTTGATGTGTCTCCTTAGACAATGTACTGCTTAGTCTTCCCTGTTTTTGAACTTTTACATAAATGGGATCATTCTGTAACTTGCTTGTTTTACCCAGTATTATGTTTGGGATTCATCTATGCTGCTGTAACTGCTGCTCATTCATCTCTAACCCTACGTATTATTCCATTAAATGAATACACCACAAGTCATTTATCCTGTTGATAAACATTTGTCTTACATCCTAGTTTTCCGCTCTGCTCATGGTGCACATGCGCAAGCATTTCTCTTGGCATATAACCAGGAGTGATAGGATATGCCCCTTCAACTCTCCTAGATGATGCCACATTACCAGTCCAACCTCTTTAACAGACATAGGGTTATTTGGGTTTTCTATTTCATCTCATGTCAGTTTTGGCAGTTTGTGTCTCTTGAGAATGTGTCCATTTCAGCCAGGTGTGGTGGCTCATGCCTGTAATCCCAGAATTTTGGGAGGCCAAGGCAGGAGAACTGCATGAGCCCCAGAGTTTGAGACCAGCCTAGGCAACATAGTGGGACCTCATCACTACTAAAAAATATTTTAAATTAGCTGGGCATGGTGGTGCACACCTGTGATCCCAGCTACTCGGGAGGCTGAGGCAGTAGGACCACTTGAGCTCAGGAGTTTGAGACCAGCCTGGGCAACACACTGAGACCTCGCTTCTATTACAAGAAAGAAGAGGGAAGAGGAGAAAGAGTCTTTCATCTAAGTTGTTAAATTTATTAGCACAAAGTTTTACATAATATCCCCATATTATACTTTTTTTTTTTTTTTTTTTTGAGACAGTCTCACTCGGTTGCTGAGGCTGGGGTGCAATGGCACAATCTCGGCTCACTGCAACCTCTGCCTCCCAGGCTGAGGCAATTCTCCCATCTCAGCCTCCTGAGTAGCGGGATTACAGGCATGCATCACCATGCCTGGCTTATTTTTTCTGTATTTTTAGTAAAGATAGGGTTTCACCATGTTGGCCAGGCTGGTCTTGAACTCCTGACCTCAAGTGATCCACTCGCCTCAGCCTCCCAAAGTGCTGGGATTACAGGCATGAGCCACCTCACCCATCCTAATTTTTGTATTTTTAGTGGAGATGAGGTTTCACAATGTTGGTCAGGCTGGTCTCAAACTCCTGACCTCAAGTGATCCGCCCACTTCAGCCTCCCAAAGTGCTGGGATTACAAGTATAAGCCACCGCACCCAGCCCCCTTATTATCCCTTAATGTCTGCAAGTTCTGTCGTGTTGTCTCTTCTTTCATTCCTATACTGGTATTCGAGTACTCTCTGAGATAGAGCCACCCAGGCCGGAGTGCAATGGTGCAACCTCAGCTCACTGCAACGTCTGCCTCCCAGGTTCAAGGAATTCTCCTGCCTCAGCTTCCGGGTTAACTGGGATTACAGGCACCCACCAGCATTCTTGGCTAATTTTTTTGTATTTTTAGTACAGAGAGGTTTCACCATTTTGGTCAGACTGGTCTTGAACTCCTGACCTCAGGTGGTCTACCCGCCTCAGCCTCCCAAAGTGCTGAGATTACAGGTGTGAGCTACCACACCTGGGAGAATTGTTTTTAAAATCTTAAATTTAGTCTGGAGAGTTATCAGTTTTATTAATCTTTTCAAAGAACCAAGATTCAAGTTCATCACATTTTTTTCATTGTTTTCTATTTCATTGATTTGTGTTCATTCTTTGCTGCTTTCATCTTTGCTTTAGAACTAATTTGTTCTTTTTCTAGGTTTTTTTTTTTTTTTTGAGACAGTCTTGCTCTGTCATCCAGGCTGGAGTGCAGTGACATGATCTCTGCTCACTGCAATCTCCATCTCCCAGGTTCAAGTGATTCTCCTGCCTCAGCCTCCCTAATAGCTGGGACTACTGGCACACACCACCACGCCTGGCTTATTTCTGTATTTTTAGTAGAGACAGGGTTTCCCCATGTTACCCAGACCAGTCTCAAACTCCTGGCCTCAGGTCATCTACCCACCTTAGCCTCCCAAAGTGCTGGGATTACAGGCATGAGCCACAGCGCCCGGCCTTTTTCTAGCATTTTAAGGTGGAAGTTTAAATAATTCATTTTAAACCTTTCTTCTTTTAAGTATAAGCACTACTTTAACTGTATCCCTCAAATTTTGAAATTTAAAAGACAGAAAACACTTTTGGGACAAAGACTATTCCAGTTTTCCTGAGGTAGATGGTACAGGAAGAGTAATCATAAAAGCTAAGACTAGAAAAGGAGGAAGTCTGTTATGAAGGAGCCGTAAGTGCTGTAGAAATGCGTACTTATCTGTCTGGTATGAAAGAGCTACTAAAAATTTCAGAGCAGAAGAGTTCGATTAAATCAACAATTGATTTCTTTTCCCAACACCACTCTTTAGCGGTTAATTAAAACACTATGCCCAAAGTTTCCTATGTAAGAAAAAAAAAAGGCAAAAATGAGGGCCCCGCCTTAAACTATATACAGAAAATCAATTCCAGTTGTTACATGAACAGATCTAAGCATGAAAAAAAAACTATTAGAGGAAAACAGAGAACGGATTTAAACCCTTTGGTGCCACAGGAATTCTACAGACACAAAAAGCAGAGAGTTTAAAGGAAAAGTTTGATAAATTGGATATTACTTTTTTTTTTTTGGAGACAGAGTTTCGCTCTTTCACCCAGGCTGGAGTGCAGTGATGTGATCTCGGCTCACTGCAACTTCCACCTCCCAGGTTCAAGAGATTCTCTTGCCAGCCTCCCGAGTACCTGAGACTACAGGTGTGTGCCATCATGCCTGGCTAATTTTTTTGTAATTTTTAGTAGAGATGGGTTTTTACCATGTTAGCCAGGATGGTCTTGATCTCCTGACCTCATGATCTGCCCGCCTCAGCTTCCCAAAGTGCTGGGATTACAGGTGTGAGCCACCCCGCCCGGTCAATATTAAATTTTCTACAGTAAAAATCATAATAAACAAGTTATAAAAGAAGTGACAGTGATAGCTGGGATAAAATATGTGGAACACATTTAACTAATAATTTTTAAATCTCTTTAAAATAGGTTTAACCATCAAGGTCATGTCCTCACAAAATTAAAAAATAGGTTTAACAAAAAACCTCTAGTGAATAAATAAAACGACAAACAATACAGTAGAAAAATGGGAGGCCAGACGCAGTGGCTCATGACTATAAACCCAGAGCTTCGGGAGGCTGAGGTGTGAGGACGGATGGCTTCAGCCCAGGAGTTCAAGACCAGCCTTGGCAACAGAGCAAAACCCTGTTTCTACAAAAATAAGTTAAAAATCTAGCTTGAAAAAAAAAAAAGTTAAAAATCTAGCCTCCTAAGTAGCTGGGATTATAGGCATGTGCCTCCCAGCTACTCAGGAGGCTGAGGCAGGAGGATAGCTTGAGCTATAGTGGCACCACTGCCCTCCAGGCTGGGTGACACAGGGAGACCCTGTCTCTTAAAATATAAATTAATTTTAATTAACTAAAATTTAAAAAAGAAAAATGGGCAAAAGATATTAACAGAAAGTTCGCAAAAAAATAAACCTAGCCGGGCATGGTGTCTCACACTTGTAATCCCAGCTCTTTGGGAGGCCTGGGTGGGGGATCGTTTGAGACCAGCCTGGCCAACATGGGGAAACTCTGTCCCTATTAAAAATATAAAAATTAGGCTGGGCACAGTGGCTCACCTACTTGGGAGGCTGAGGCAGGAGAATCACTTGAACCCAGGAGATGGAGGTTGCAGTGAGCTGAGATCACACCACTGCACTCCAGCCTGGGTGACAGAGCAACACTGTCTCAAAAAAAAAAAAAAAAAATTCAAAAATTATCTGGGCATGGTGGTGGGCACCTGTAATCCCAGCTACTCAGGGGGCTAAGGCAGGAGAATAGTTTGAACCCAGGAGGCAGAGGTTTGCAATGAGCCGAGACTGCACCACTGTACTCCAGCCTGGGCTCTGTCTCAAAACAAACAAAAAAAGAATAAACCTAAGTGGCTAGTGCATATATAAAAAGTGGCTCAAAAGACTGGGCTGGCACCTGTAATCTCCCTTCTACCATATGGGAACACAAGACAACAGCCATCTAAGAACCAGAAAGGAGGCCCTCGCTAGATACCAAACCTACCAGCACCTTGATTTTTGACTTCCCAGCCTCCAGAACTGTGAGACAGGTGTCTGTCTGGTTTATGAGCCACCTGGTCTACGTACTGTCATAGCAGCGAAATGGACTAAGACGCTCCTTGGTCACGTCACTCTTCATCTACACTAGGGTCTGAATCCGGAGTTGATCTACTCTCCCGACTTGCTCTATTCTTCTGTTAATAACACATTGTTTGAATTGCGACAGCTTTATAATAATTCTTCAAGTGGCCTTTTCTGTTTTTATAATTGTCCTGGTTATTCTTAGACTTTTGCTTTTTCATATAAATTTTAGAATCAGTATGTCTCACGTTAAACCTCAGAACTTACGGATTGCACTTTTTCTTTTTCACTTCTCCATAGGCGAGGTTCTTACAGGCCTTGATGCGTATTTCTAAAGAGTGGGTTTTGAAGCAGTAACGAATGGCCAATTCTATTTCCCCAGTGACGTCGGCATTGTCAAAGTTGCCCATCTCTGTACAGGTGCTATTAATGCTAATTAAACTTCCCTGAAATCAAGAATGACAGACATAATTAAGTTACATCACAGTTAATTCATTTTCCTGCAGTTGTGGTTTCGAGATAGCAAATAAATAAAAACTCATCCGGAGCATGTACCCTGACTCCCAGTAAGTTAATAATGCACTAGCTTGTACTTTGCCAAAGTAAGTCGCCACATGTTCTGTCCTAAGGAGATAGGGAATCCTCAGAAGGCCCTGTCTTGCAGGGATATAGTTTTTGCCTAGCAATAAAGGTTACACAATCTCACTCTTTAACACAAATTGCTTGGAGCGAAATGGACTATCTCCTATGCAATCCTGCAGGATCACGCTCAGGAGGCCAGACAATCCCCGTGGCAGGACAGCGCTGCGGAAACAGCAGTGTGGGGCCGCATGGCTGTGACTGGCCATCAGACAGACCTGGGCTCAAATGCTGGTCCTGCCACTCATTAGCTGTGGCAAAATCTAACTGGAAAATACAATATTGATCTCACAGGGCTCTGGTGAAGATAATGGTAAATTGTAGTTAAATTTTTCTGGTTACCTAAAATGAAAAATAAAACATCTTCACAATCTAGGGTACTTTAAGCTTATACGATATAGATAAGGAGAAGCTATAATGAATGCTGTTCATTAGCACAAAATGCCTGGGCCTGAAAGATACAATAAGCCACCTTATCACTTTTTTTTTTGAGACGGGAGTCTTGCTCTGTCACCAGACTGGAATACAGTGGCGCAATCTCGGCTCACTGCAACCTCTGCCTCCCGGATTCAAGCGATTCTCCTGCCACAGCCTCCTGAGTTGCTGGGACTCCCAGTGCCCACCACCATGCCAGGCTAATATTTGTATTTTTGGTAGAGACAGGGTTTCATCATGTTGGCCGGGATGGTCTTGATCTCCTGACCTCATGATTCACCCAACTCAGTCTCACTTTATCACTATTAAATGTGCTTACACACTTGGCAACATTTGCATGCAACCAATCTCTGTGCTGCCTTTATAGGAAGAGAAGCCAAACTGATTTCTACTCCTAGCTCCCAGTTAGCTCCTCCACGTGATAAAACATCCAGAAAAGAAACGAAGAAACAAGCTGGGGACAGAAAGGCGAACCACAAGGGAAGATAAAATCAAAACAATACCAACAACTGGGACCTGGCGTGGTGGCTCACGCTTGTAATCCCAGTACTTTGGGAGGCCAAGGTGGGCAGATTGCTGGAGGTCAGGAGTTTGAGACCAGCCTGGACAAGATGGTGAAACCCTATCTCTACTAAAAATACAAAAATTAGCCAGGCATAGTGGCACATGCCTGTAATCCCAGCTACTCGGGAGGCTGAGGCATAAGAATTGCTTTAACCCAGAAGGTGGAGGGTGCAGTGAGCCAAGGTCGCATCACTGCACTCCATTCTGGGTGACAGTGAGGGCCTGTCTCAAAACAAACAACTCATCAAAGGGGCTGGAACCTGAACTGATGAATGGCAAGAACAAAACAAGCTTCAAACCCAGTCACTGGCTCTGAAAACTATCACTTGTCAACACCAGCCCAATGTTAAAGTGGAAAACAATGTAAAATTTTTACACACTCAGAAAGGCATAGACTGGGCAGGGTGGCTCACACCCATAATCCCAACACCTCAGGAGGGGTAAGCAGGCAGGTCACTTGAGGTCAGGCATTTGAAATCAGCCTGGCCAATATGGTGACAACCCCACTCTACCAGAGGGGGAAGAAAAGGCATGGACTGCTGCACCAGCATGAAAGAGTGAGGTGTGAGAAGTGGAGATAGAAGAGAATGGATAAAGGAGCTTGGTACAAGGTGTGAGCAGCCTGAGAACCAGGTGGATGAATGGAGAGGCGAATGAAGGCGATGAATACAGCATTTGTCATGGGACTCAGCTTCAGGCTATGTTGAACTAAATGGGATGACACACACTTTTCTGCTGAGAACAATTAGAAGCTGAATTAAACAACCAAACTATTTCAAGACATTGCAGAGCTGCCAAGACCACCAGGATGCAAGGGCCCAGGATGTTGAGAAGCACACTGAAGTAAGCAACATTCGGAGCTGCTCTCACGTCAAGGCACTAGTCCCCGTGCAAGCAACACAGGACTTTTTATTCTATTCTACTGACCTGCCTGACTCTCCTCGCATCAGGAACACACAGTTTGGGCCGGGTGTGGTGGCTCAGGCCTGTAATCCCAGTACTTTGGGAGGCTGAGGCAGGTGGATCACCTGAGGTTAGGAGTTTGAGATCGGCCTGGCCAACATGGTGAAACCCCGTTTCTACTAAAAATACAAAAATTAGCAGGGCATGGTGGCACGTGCCTGTAGTCCCAGCTACTAAGGAGGCTGAAGCAGGAGAATCGCTTGAACTGGGAGGTAGAGGTTGTGATGAGCTGAGATCGTGCCACTGCACTCCAGCCTGGGTGACAGAGTGAGATTCTGTCTCAAAAATAATAATAATAATGAAAGAACACATTGTTTGAATCACTACACCTGTATGTCCAAGGGTTGGATGGCCAAGAAGTCCATCTAAATGAAACAGCACAGAGACTAACAAGCTGAGCAGAGTTCTCAGCAGCCTAACGAGACTGGGAGACAAAATCAGCATTCAAGGCCATGAAGTCATGTGGAACCTGAGGAGCTAAGGATGTAGAGACAGGGCAAATCCATGCTTTAGGATGCCAACCAGGGGCACATGAACCTTTAGCAAAACTGTGACATCAACAATGCATTTGGCCCAGCAGCATTCAGTGCAGTGGGAGTTCAAGAAGTTTTGCAAAGGAGACGAGAGCCTTGAAAATGAGGAGTGCAGTGGCCAGTCACTGGAAGATGACAATGACCAACCGAGACCAGTCATTGAAGCTGATCCTACAACTACAGGAGAATTTGCTGAGAAACTCAAGGTCAATCATTCCACAATTGTTCAGCATTTGAAGCAAATTGGAAAGGTGAAAAAGCTCGGTAAGTGGGTGCCTCGTGTGCTGAGCAAAAATGAAAAAACAATTGTCATTTTGAAGTGTTGTCTTCTCTTATTCTACACAACAACAAACCATTTCTCAATCAGATTGTGATGTATGATGAAAAGTGGATTTTATATGACAACCAGCAATGACCAGCTTAGCGGCTGGACTGAGAAGAAGCTCCAAAGCACTTCCCAAAGCCAAACTTGCACCAAAAAAAAGGTCCTGGTCACTGTTTGGTGGCCTGCTGCCAGTCTCATCCACTACAGCTTTCTGAGTCCCAGTGAGCATACACCTGAGAAGTATGCTCAGCAAATCCATGAGACGCATCAAAAATTGCAATGTCTGCAGTTGGCACTGGTCAACAGAAGGAGCCCAATTCTTCTCTACGACAATGCCAGACTAACCAACACTCCAAAAGATGAACAAGGCCATGCACGATGACTCACACCTGTAATCCCAGCCCTTTTGAGAGGCCAAGGCAGGCAGATCACCTGAGGTCAGGAGTTCGAGACCAAGTGGCCAACATGCTAAAACCCCGTCTCTACTAAAAATACAAAAATTAGCTGGGTGTGGTGGTGCATGCCTGTAATCCCAGCTACTCAGGAGGCTGAGGCAGGAGAATCCAATGAACCTGGGAGGTGGAAGTTGCAGTGAGCTGAGATAGCGCCACTGTACTCCAGCATGGGCAACAGAGCAAGACTCCATCTCAAAGCAAAAAAACAAAAACAAAGGTTAAACGAATTAGGCTACAAAGTTTTGCCTCATCCACCATATTCACCTGACCTCTCACCAACAGACGACCACTTCTTCAATCATCCTGAGAACTTTTTGCAGGGAAAACACAGCCAGAAGAATGCAGAAAAGGCTTTCCAAGAGTTTATCGAATCCCAAAGTACAGATTTTTATGGTACAGGTATAAATAAACTTATTTCTTGTTGACAAAAATGTGTTGATTGTAATGGCTTCTATTTTTATTCATAAAGATGTGTTTGAGCCTAGTTATGATATAAAATTCATGGTCCAAAACCACAATTACTTTTCTAGCAACCTAATACTTTTGAGTCTCAAATTATCCCAGTTTTTTGTACTCAATGTCCAGCATTCAATAAAAAATTGCCATGCATACTAGGACTAAAAAGTAAGTGTCCCAGTTTCCTGATGACTAAGGAATTTTCTGGGAGGTAAGACTTGAACTGCTAAAACCAGATGAGTCCTGAGTAACCTGGGATGGTCGGTCATCCTAAGTCTACAATCCAAGAATTAGTGACCAGAAACAAAGAGGAAAAATGCACAATAAAAACAGACTCACAGGTGATCCCAAAAACAAAGAGGAAAAACACACAATAAAAATAGACTCACAGGTGATCCAGATATTGGCATTGAAAGATACACATTTTATTTATTTATTTATTTATTTTTGAGACAGAGTTTCACTGTTGTTACCCACACTGGAGTGCAATGGCACGATCTCGGCTCACCCCAACCTCTGCCTTCTGGGTTCAAGCAATTCTCCTGCCTCAGCCTCCCAAGTAGCTGGGACTACAGGCGCGCACCACCATATCCAGCTAATTTTTGTATTTTTAGTAGAGACGGGGTTTCACCTCATTGACCAGGATGGTCTCAATCTCTTGACCTTGTGATCCACCCGCCTCAGCCTCCCAGAGTGCTGGGATTATAGGCATGAGCCACTGTGCCCAGCCAAAGATATACATTTTAAAATAACTGAAATTAATATTGTCAAGAAAATATATGGCAAGAATATATTTATCCAGAGAACTAGAATGTATAATAAAGAATCAAGAATTTCTCCAGAGAACTAGAATTATAATGAAGAGTCAAACAGAAATTTCACCAGAGGACTAGAATTTTTATTTACTTTATTTATTTTTATTTTAATTGTTTTTGAGATGGAGTCTCACTCTGCCACCCAGGCTGGAGTGCAATGGCATGACCTCCACGGTCTTGAAGTCTTGACCTCAGGTGGTCTGCCTGCCTCGGCTTCCTAAAGTGCTGGGATTACAGGCATGAGCCATCGCACTTGGCTAG